CATCTTTAAACTTTAAGAAACATAAACGTCCGTTTAACTCCGTTAAGCATTATGCGACGTGAAGATCGAGGGAAGGTAGGGGAGTGGGGCCCAAGCAACTAGCGGGAAGCTGAGCGGTAAAGAGTTTGTTTCCGTTCAGGAGTTGATACGAGAGGACTCCGAGATCCACCTGGTAGTCGCCCCCTCCGCTTTCGCCTCTGTTTACGTAACTCCACTTCTCTTCTTCTTCTTCTTCTTCTTCTTCTATTTATATTATTCTCTTCTTCTTCTTCTCCTTCTTCTTCCCCAATCTCCTTCGCAAATTCAAATCATCCAATATGGCCTCCACTCTTGATTCCTCCCTCTCCAACCTCAACATCAATGCCGATTTCTTCTCTTCCGCCCCTAATCTCCAGCGCAATCTCCACCTCCTCCTCCCTCAACAGGTACCTCTGTTATTCCTGTTGGTACCGCCTGCGTATTTATGAATTCTGTTGCTTCCTTGGATTTTAATGGTCAATGTCAATGAATTTTTTGTTTTGGCTTGTAATTGGTGTCTTTTGGTGGCAGATTGAATTCGCGAAGATGCTATTGGAGATGGGCCAGAGTCATTTGTTTCAGCACTGGGCAGATCCTGGTGTTGAAGACGGTGAGAAGAAAGCTTTCTTTGACCAGGTTTTTCTTCTTTTTTACTTTTTGATGGAAAATTCAATTCAGATATTTTCCTTTTTCGTTACCTTTCTATTTTTGAGAACAAAAGAAATTTTGGTATGGATCCTGTAAATTGCTTTAGAAAGTCCGGGCTGTGTTTGGTTGCATGCAATTGGAGCGCTCGGATTTGGAAATTCAATCTGCGACCTTCTTATTGATTTATTTTCGTAGAAGTCTATTAACAAAATAATGCACAGTGAAAAGAATGCCGCTTTGCTACTGAAAATTTTTAACTTGACCATTACTCACCAAAAAAAAACTTTTGGACTCAACTATCCAATGTGAAGCTGTTCTTGGCAAATTAAGCCAACTTCTTTGTCTTCGTGAATTTTACTCAAAGATCTTAGTGCTTTTCTATTATAGGCGTCAGAATCTGGATTTACTCGTTTCAGGTGAATGCCAATGTTTTTTTTTTTTTCTTCGGTAAAACAGTGACAAGGGATAAGAAAAATACCAATAATCTCCTTTATGCTCAATTATTGAGATCTTGATCTGTATGCTGTCATGATAAATTTTCTGTTTCTCTATTTGATTATGTTAATTTTATTCATGATGTTTTAAGAACTTTCTGTTTTGCATTTATTTTCTACAAGGTTGCTCGGTTAAATTCAAGCTATCCTGGTGGTTTGGCATCATATATTAAAAATGCGAGAGAACTCTTGGCCGATTCAAAAGCTGGAAAAAATCCATTCGATGGTTTCACACCTTGTGTAA